CTCGTGCGTACGTTGTGGTATGATTATTTGTAGGCTCATCCACTTGGACACATACGATCCGGCCTTATAACATGTGGTTTGACCCACTTGATGGAACGTGACAATACTTGGTCAGAGTATGTCGTTAAAAGAACTTTAAAGTTTTTTCTTTGTCCACTAAATGTTTGGTTAACCCCAATATAGTTTATTTAATTGAACTAGTTTTGTTTTTTTTATTCAATCATGAATCAAGTACGACATATCTCGTTGTTTGCATAAAAAATATATCTCATTATTGCATTAAACAATAATCACCATTCAAATATGACAAGCATAAAAATTTACACCTTTAATTCTGTTTATCAATTACTCCCTCCTTCATATCAAAATAAAAAAAAAGTGCATCTCGTGTAAGAAATAATACACATCACTTAAATACTAAAAGTATCCGTATAAATTCATACCCTTCTCAAGTTACTCCGCTCCTCTCTGACATGGAAAAAAAAAACTGTGTTTTTTTTTCTCTTTATTACAAAGTTACAACACTCAAAATTCCTTCTCCAGGTTATTTATCATTGTTTCTTTTTTTTGTAGACCGTACCTTAAGAAAGAAAAAAAAACTTCTTTGTTTACTTGTATAACTTATTTCGGCTACGACCAACCAAAACTGAAGAAAATGATATTTTTTATTTATTATTATTTTTAAAACCCACGCTCTTAAATCATCCATAATTTTTATTCTGATTCATTCTTATTTTACAATAAACAAAATCATTTTAAAAAGGACAGTCAAAGCCGATTGTGTTTTTTTTCCTTAACAAACTTGCATATATTTTTTTTCTTTCTCTATATCTATATATGTACACCACGTATAAATAAAACAAAATGTTTACACCACAAAATTATATACGGAGTATATATTTAGTTTTGGGTACTATGTAATCCATATATACACAGTGTGTGTGTGTGTGTGTGTATATATATATATATATATATATATATACCTCCATAATCTAGCATTTTTTATAGATTAAGAATTGACGAAAGATTTAGATTATATAAAAAAAAGTTATGCACACAAATATACGAACATTAAATATATATCTAAAGATTAGGGTCAACGGCACACCTTCGATGTTGTTAACGGAAAGGTAGATGAACAGAATCTCGGACGTACTTCCTCGCTATCACGCTTCGTTGTCCTCCCAACACTCTCTAGATCAAGTGCCCTAAAGTAGTCACCCTAGGCCTCTATTTATAGGTACAATAGGGTATGTGGATGGTTTTTTTTAATTTAATTAATTTTTTTTTTTAAAACATAAAGTCTCTCTTAAATGAGAGATGCAATGAATGGGTTGGGGAGGAGGATCCTAGGCGTGGCCAACAAGGGGAAAGCAAAAGGTTTCCTCCTCCGTTGGTTTAATACTACGTGTCCGATTTCCACAGTTTTGATTATTAAATAATTTTTGGAAAAATATAAAACTTATAGCGTTAAGTTACATATTTTTCACACATCATTTTAATATAACTTGTTTGTCAAGAAAACAAATTTACTTTATTAGAATGATTTTTTTTTCCGGGTAGTAGAGAGGACCAAAGTTCACTTTACTCCTTTTATTTATCCTCTCTAATAATTAACTCATTAAGGCTTAACTTCTAATTTTAATATTTTTCCAAAGAATAGTAACATAATATTTAATTATATTATATATTTTTTTTAATTTTTTTTTTCGTTATTTTTTTTTTTGTTTTTTTTATATATATTTGTTTCATTTCTTTGTACTAGAAAGTTAAAAATCCTAGACCGGTTTCCAGGGCGTTACAGGCCCGCCTCGCGATTTACAAAGTTTGCTGGGTCGGAGAATGTGACGATGCTGATATTTTAAAGGGATTTGACATGGCAATCCGTGATGGGGTGGACATCGTGAGCATCTCCATTGGAGGACATGTCCCGTTGTTCCCGGACGGTGACCCCCGTGACTCGATCTTGATAGGATCATACCATGCAGTATTTCATGGGATAACCGTGGTGGCGTCCGCAGGGAACGATGGCCCCAAGTCGTACTCGGTCATTAACGTTGCGCCATGGCTCATCACGGTAGGAGCGTGCACGACCGATAGACGCTTCTTAGCACAGATTTCACTTGGAGACAACTCAACAACCCTCTAGGTATGTATCTATGTTTTATTTAAGTTTTATATAAGAAGTCACATGTTTTAATTTGATGAATACATGCAGGGGCAGTCATGGTACACCGGTAAGGTCCTGGTTGGCTTTTCGGAAATAACCTATCCAGATTCCACAGGCTAGTTCCAGAACAATGTGTAAGCCAGCCATTCCTTCTTTAGTTTTGATATCATCCACTAGGTAGAAATTACATTTTAGTCATTGACGAATAGTAACCTTGGTTACACACGCACCCTTTGCTTTTGAAAATTTGGGTGTTGGATGTAATTATATTTGCTCATTGCCTTAACTAATTATTTCCTAAGATTTTTATCTTTATTTCTTTTTCTTTTTTCT